ATTCCTGCTATTTTTGTTCATGAGCTGCAAAAGTGGAACTGGAACAAAAACCAGTTTCAGCAGCTGCAGAGGTTAGCTTCCAGTTCTGCAGTGGGAGGAGAATGTATCAGAATCAGTCATACCCTTCCATGGGCTTGGGACAAACTCGATTAACTGTGAAAGCATTTTAAAAAGAAACAACACTTCTCATTTGCTGAAACTTAAAAACTTGTATTTTCAAAACTGATACTCCTTGATTTCTTCTGTTTTGTTCATATCACTAAAACCAGTATTAGTTTGTTGATTATTTCAGTATGTTACAGGATTATTCCATTGCACAAGGTCCTGATTAGATGGCAGTGTTGTCTGATTTCAGATGTCAGATAACTCTGGCAGATCTGTACTTGAGCTGACTTAGAGATCTTTTCTGATGAAAGCAGATTTTTCCTCTTGCGCTTAACTGGTCCTGGCAACTTCTCTCTGTTTTTTTAATAAACATACAAAAGTTAATACTGGTGTCTAAGAACAGTTAAGATTAGTTTACATGCCTTGAGAGGTAATGGAGGGAGCTGGAGGCTTTTAGTTTAATAAAATTCCCAAAGTACACAATATAGGTTATGCTATGCATGTTCACCTCTAAAACCTCAGTTAAAGATTCTGAGTTTAATGATTTATGCTTTTAATCTTAGACTGTAATGTAGCCTGGCTTTTGTGTTTAGGCACTGGGGACAAGGGATGCATCAAAAGGATGTACTTAATTTGCTGCTTGTGTCTTCTCTTTCTACTTTCTGGTTGATGGACACATTGTTTAGTTGTTTTTCTCCTACTTTGATGGCTTAAAAAACATCTGTGTGAAACAAAGAGGGAAGGTATGGCTGAAAACTTTCTCCTTTTACAGAAGATACACTGTAGACTCTGAATCTTCTTTGTTTAGTACTCTTTCCATGAAACTTTAGTTTTTCTGTACTTACACATCATTTACAGTGCATTTACTCATGTCTTTAGTAGTAGTTGGGCTTGAAAGTGGCAGCCATGTTATGTGGCTCTGAGGATCCATCCCTCTGTCATTGCCCACTGTTGTGGTGTTGATGTTTTCTCTGGGAAACAGGTATTCTTCCTGGGATTTTTTTTTTTTAAATATTATGTTTGGTTTTATTATGTGCTCAGTGTGGTGTCTTGTTTTTTTTTTCAAAATAGCCTCAAACAGCCATACAGTTAAATATATTTTGTAGTTGTCATTTGTTTCTCTGATATACAACCATTTTAGTTTATGGCCTTTAAATCATATACAAGAGGAAAGTAAAGTGCACTTGTGAGCTCAAATGTAATTCACTTTTTACCATTACAATCAGTTCATATGAGATCTGAGGAGTTTTCTTTGCTATTTATAGATAACCTGTACATAAAAATTGGGTACCTACACGTGGACCATTCTTTTTTGTGAAATTGATTTAATCTGCCTGGATTATGGGTCACTTGCAATTTACTCATCCATGACAGTCTTGCCTCACAAGCTTCTGAGGTTTCTCTAAACAGCATAGATGAAATCAAATACATTTTTAGCATTTTTGAGGAATTGGCAAAACTTGCCAATGCCTTTTAGATACATCGTTTAGATTCTGTTGCCGGAGAGCATCTGCTGAGGCAGCATTTTCAGAGTACCTCCAGGTATAGTTCAAGAATATTGAAAGCTTAGCTAAGAAACCAAATTTCTTTTGAAACAGAATCGTCTTTCCCCCAAAAAATCCCCAAAATCCAAAAAGACCAAACTCAGAAACCTAACAACAACCTATGTGTTCTGTGCTGTCAGACATTACACTTTGCATTCCTGAAGAGAGGGGACCTGATTTTAGCCCACAGCTTGCTATAGAAGAATGTGAGTTGCTTTCACTATATAGAAAGCTTTGGAAATTCAGTTCTAGGAAGAGAAGGGTAAACGATGTAGTTGCTGAGATCACAGATTGTACTAAGAACAAAAAAACTGAGAAAATACTTACAAGACATTTTTCTTTTTCCCCTTCTTATTTGCAGCTTGAAAGAGATGCCTATGTCCAAGCATTAGCAAGATTTACATTACTTACAGTGAGTTCTGGTATTACGGAAATGAAGCAGAAGAACATTGACACAATTAAAACACTCATCACAGTGGCTCATACAGATGGAAACTATTTAGGAAATTCCTGGCATGAGGTACAGGAGTCATTTGTACTTAAACTGTAAGAGAGCACTGGAACGGATTTTGAACACAGTAGTGTATTTATTTGTGCATAAATACAGTGGGTTTTATATAAGTGACATGTATATACATTTGTACATACGTAGAATTGCACGTTACCTGGCTAATTAAAGTAGCAAAACATGTCCAAGTGAGAAATAAAATTGTGAGGCTAGCCCAATAGTTTTTAAATTAATTTTAAATGGAAGAAGATAAATACTTGTCGGACCATAACTGTTTAGAATTATTTTCTTCTAACCATCTGCCTAAATATATCTATATTATTATTTATTTATTTACTATTTCAAACTGCTTTTTGTTGATAAATAACTTCTTTATTATCTGGAATAGATTCTGAAATGCATCAGTCAACTTGAACTGGCACAGTTAATAGGAACTGGAGTAAAACCTCGCTACATCTCAGGGACAGTGCGTGGCAGGGAAGGTTCTTTTACTGGAACAAAAGATCAGGCACCCGATGAATTTGTGGGGCTAGGACTGGGTAAGTAATGCAGATATGAAGTATCTCATTTAGCTGGCTTTGTTCAGACAGATATTGAAGTTTGTCCTTTGTTTTCAGTAGTGTTAACCGTGAAGTTCAGAGGCAAAACCATGAAGTAGTCCTTGTAAAATGGTCTTAGGTTTTTAATAGATCTATTCCTATTTCTGGAGTATTTGCTTTGCTTTGTTAAGTGTTACTGCTAGGATGTGAGACTGTGTAATGTAAGAAAATAATGCATTCTTCATTTCTATTAAAATATAGCTGACCAAGTAAGAATGGAGTTCTGATGGTATGACTGGATTTAATAATATCGCAATGTTAGTGAACCTAGTAGTTTACCAAACAGGCAAGTTAGCATGTGTAGGTTCAGCACCCTGTGATGAAACTTTGCAAGAAATAAGCACTATCCAGACCAAGTGGGAGGTTAGTTCAGCTTAAATTGTGAAATTCTGTTTCCTTCTCTTTTGTTTACTTTGGTACTGAATCAGTGCCTTTTTTAGGTTGGCCTGAGAGCCAAAATTTACTGCATAAATGAGGTGTTCTTTCCTATCTTCCTATAAACATATAGAGTCTTACCTTACCTTTAAAAGGTTGAGCTTTTTGTTGTTTTTTTTTAATAGGAACACAGTTCAAGACATACAGGCATAGGGTATTAGGAAACTATGGAAGTGTCCGGGAAGCATATATAGTTTCATTTGACTGTTAGAAAGTTTCAATTTTAGTATGGTGCTGAACACGGCCTGCTTTCTGAAAGACTTGCCCCACAGTGAAGTGAAAGATTTGTGTTCCCTCAGTTTTTCATGTAACTTGTTGGTTTTGTTTTTAGAAGTTATTATTATTTTACTAGTTTCCCTGATCTTAGCCCTCAACTAGTTCTAATCCTCTGGCTTTATGTTCTCCTCGGACAGCTTTTCTGATTCTATGGTCAGTTCTTCTATTTCCATTGTGCTCTCCTTTGGTCTGCCTCTGTATCTTCCCTTCACCTGGCCAAGAGTTGCTGAAGAAACCTTATGCCTGAAAATTAATGTGTCTGCCCACATCTCATATACTGAGGTTCTTCCTGCCCTTCTAATATACATTCTCCAGTTTAGAGCTCCCCAATGACATGTCAACTTTGCTGTTTCCAAATCCTGGCAGTTTCTCCTCATTGAAGTGACTGGCTTTTAAAAATTTTAAGGTCTAATAGCTCAAGAATGTAACCTGTAGTTAGGTGTCTCTAAGCCATATTTGCTAGTTGTTGGTGTAGATCCAGCTCATAAAGACTTTTTTTTACCCTCTGTCAACTGCATTTCTAAGGAAAACAGTCTGTTCCCAGATGCGTAAAACGTTTCTCTCTGAATTGACTTTCTGGAGTGCTTGCTACAGCACATAGATGGAAACTTAACAATTTAAAAATAATAATGATAGTAATAATAATAGTAGTAGTAATAATAATAACAACAACAACAACAATAATAATAATAATAATAATAATATAATAACAACAACAACTTAAATCTTACAGGAAAATGCCTAACTCGAAAAAAATTTATTTTCGTGCACTTTGGGGCTGTTAGAACAGTCATTTTCTCAATTGTTTCGGTTCTTTCAGTCTTCTCCACAAGTCCTGTGTTGCACATACTTTTCTTCCGATGATCTTTCTGAAGTATCTTTTGGAACTATGGCTTTCAAGCAAGCTTCTTATAAAACTAAATTCATGTGAAGAACCTGTAGGTTATATGTCCATAGATACATATTATACAGGAAAATAGTTGTTTAATTAAAGTAAGTGAAGTTGCACCTGGGTGACACAGAAGCTTCATCTTTCAAACACGCTTGCAAAATCAGACATGCATAAGCAGCAACATTCACTCTTCTTCCTGAAGTTAGAAGCATGTGCTTTTCAAAAACACAACAAAACCAACCCCAAAAACCCCTTTCCTCGTTTACTGCTTGAACAGGGTTACAGGTGTACACTTTCACTCTTTAGGCATCTACATTTGAATGTCTTTGTCTTGCATTATCTTCCTGCTATGGCCCTTTTTAGTTTTACTTGAAAATTCAAGGCATCACAAGCATGTGGGTTGTAAAAGCAAATTAATAAGTATCTGTTCCTTTGCTTCTTTGGTAATAATGTTGTCTTATTGGAGCTGTAACTGTGAAGTTCAGCTTTCTTCTACTCTATTCACAAAGTTGGAACACAAAACCTGCTGCTTTGAGTAGGTCATAGTGTACTTCTTAGGTAACCAGAAATCCTCTTTGGACAACAGGAATCTGTGGAATCAGTTTTTCATAAAGTAGGATTACATAAGCAACTCTATCTTTCATTGTAAAAGATCTCACAACTGTTGGAATATAAATCTGCAATCTGTTTAGGTTTTTCAGCATTGATTGTAAATCCTACAGTAATAAGGAATTACCACAAAAACTGGCAGAGTTGGTTTAGGTTACCTAACTTCTTGGAAACAGCCCTTTGAATTCACTTTACACAGCTGCTTTTTTGGTATGTTTCTTAACTGAGGCATTACCAAGATTCAAGCTAATTTATTCTAGCAGCTTGTGTTCATCAAGACAAGAGAAGTTTTGATGAGAACAAAGTGTATTATAAGTTGCTGATATACTAGCATAAGGTTACTTATGTATGTACAGAAAAGTTACTCCATAAATACCCTAGAAAAACACTTCCGATGGGTCAGATTTATTCTAGATTTGACAGCCAGTCATCTTAAGCCACCTCCAAGTGTGGAGCACAGCAAGACTCAGAGGCAGACTTTTGGAAGGTAGCCGGAAACATGAGAACATTTTGTCTGTGCAAAGCTCTGAGAACAGAACTGCTGGCCTTTTTTCAGTATTCTGTTCTCCCCTGTCTTTCTGATAGGCTGCCTAAGGAAAAAAACCCTAAATATAGGGTAGGCGGAATTACCCAGGATGGTTGTAAGATTCCTGGCTTTTTTAGATGGCAGGGTGGAGGGGGTTTTAGACACTGCCAGAATTTTTAGAAATTTGCTCACTGTGAAGTGAGCGTTTTCTTCATGTGAGCCTTCCCAGGTGTGAGTTACAGTTTTTAGTCTCCAAAATAAATATTGCTGTTCTTATTTATGGATTTTTCTCACTATTGTTAGGTGATAATTTTGTTGCACTTGACATACATAGTTCACTGAGATGCCTAGTTCATGAAAGGGAATAATGATATACTTCTGCATTTTTTTGTGATTTAAAATTATATTTAATTGTAGTGGCACAACTTCTCTTCCTCTTTCTTCCCACTCCTTTCTGTGTTATCTCTTACCTTTTTTTCACATTTTGTTCACTATAGGTGGAAATGTGGATTGGAAGCAGATAGCAAGTATTCAGGAATCCATTGGTGAAACTAGTTCCCAAAGTGTTGTCGTTGCTGTAGACAGGTATTGTATTAAATTTGCTGTTGCCACCCCAAGCTTTGTAAGCAGTATTTAAATACCCTCTGGTAATAATAATTAGCTGCTATTAGTTTTCCTCAAGTTGGAAAGAATGACATAAATTAAATTGTATTAAATTGTTGATCAGTTTTGTGTGTTTTTTACTTTTTTGTGGAGTGGAAGTATTTTTGCAAGATGGAACAGAACAAAGATTAGGAAAGAAACCTTTATACCAATATAAAATTATCACAGGTTGCAGAATGAGCTGCAGAATGAAGACTGCAATACTGTCCTGTGAATCTTGATTTGCTGTGTAGTATCATATAGCAAATCTCATTCTGCCTTAGAACAGGGAGCATTATTGACAGATTCTTTTTCTCCTAGATGTAATTACTGACTCCCCGCTTTCCTGTAGATTATGTAGATGTTGTCTGAAATCACCAAAATTATTATTCCAGTCTTGGTTTCTATGAATCATACTTAACATAACCGGATTTGATCAGGCATAATACGTGTCGTAAACATTCCCTGTTTATATCATGAAGTACTGATTAGACTGGAGTGTTAATGGGTCTCGTGCTCTCAGCATATAAGAAATCAGAAAGCATAATTTTCTTAATGGTTGTCAAAACCAACAGTCACAAAGCGGTATTATTCTAAAGGCTTACAAGCATTTCTGTGATTGAGTATAGGCAGGAGGATTGATGTCAGTTCAATTAAAGTTGCCTTGAAGTAAAATCACATCAAATGATTTGAAGACTTATTGTCAAACACATAGTAGGTCTTGAGGTTTGCAGTGTTTCTCCTCACTTCATAATAGGAATTGTTTAGACTATCTCTTTGTCGTGTGCACTCATGAGAGGTTTGACTTCTGTATTTGGAGCAAGGATGAATAGTTTATAAGCTACTGACATTAGTCATCAGTCACTGTCAATGAGCAGATAGTATTAGAAACAATGCTCACCTCCCAGTCTTCACACATCCTTTGTTTTTAAATACTAGAAATAATTGAAATAGTTCTGATAGCTTCAGTATTTTTCCACAATTACTAATTGTTTTCTAGCTAACAAAAGTAGTCAGAGGGTGTCTATATATATTTTGAAAAATCTTGAATAAATGTTTCATAGATGACTTTTTAAGAAATTGTAACAATGTCTTAAACTGTACTTTACAGAATATTTACAGGATCTACAAGGTTGGATGGAAATGCTATTGGTAGGTTTTATGTTTCTCCCCTGCCCACCCCCCTCCCCACCCCATACACTACAGAGCAGCTTTGTCTTAAACTTTAGAAAAATTTTGCATTGCAATCTGTGCTCATTTAACAGTGGATTTCGTTCGCTGGCTTTGTGCTGTCTCTATGGATGAACTGCTGTCTGCTACCCACCCTCGAATGTTTAGTCTGCAGAAGATAGTAGAGATTTCTTACTACAACATGGGCCGGATAAGGCTACAGTGGTCTCGAATCTGGGAAGTTATTGGAGATCATTTTAATAAGGTATCCCTGCTAATGATGGTACTGCATGCTTTGTGAGTTACCAATAGAAATAAATTTTAGTTAGAGATTAGTTGGAAAAGCATGTACTCCTCTGAGTTATACTGGCTTTTCCTGTCCTTCTGTGTAAGTAGCTTAAAACACAACAGAACTTGTAAAGCGGGAAAGGCCTGTGAGAAGGCAGAGGTACACAATATAATAAGTGTAAAATCAGGAGTATATATTCCTATTTATCATGACCTGGATCTAGAACTGGCTGCCTTTAAGTTATGTGTTGTAATTTTGGGGGGTGTTTTATAAAGCTAGGAATAAGGTCTTGTCTTTGCTCAAGTCTAAATTGAGTATTTATCAGGTGAATGTTTGACGTGCAATTTTAATATAGCTTGTTGGAGTTTGTTTGCTTATTTTTACAAAGTTAGAGATGCCAGGATATATGATGTAGAAAATAGCTGGAATTGGTTAGGGCTTATTGAATTGCATTAACAATTGAGTTCATGGAATTTGTTTATACTGTTTATTTTGTTAATTTTCCAGCACTGCTTAGTTCTCTGTTATCAAACGCAAAAGTAGCTTGGGCTGAATCCATTAAAATTCTGATGCAAGCTTACAGTGCATTTCTATTCTACATTACTAGGTTGGCTGCAATCCCAATGAAGATGTAGCTATTTTTGCAGTAGATTCATTAAGGCAATTATCAATGAAGTTCTTGGAAAAAGGAGAACTTGCTAATTTCCGATTCCAGAAGGACTTCCTGAGACCGTTTGAACACATCATGAAGAGAAACAGGTAATAACATACAATTAACTGAATCACCTGGTATCATAAGCACCAGCTTTTGCAATTAATATTTCAAATTGCTGTTGCTGGAGAGTTATACTATTCTAATTGATTATGTAATTTACTTTGAGCAATTATTGTTTATTGTCTTAATTTAGGTCTCCTACTATTCGAGACATGGTTGTACGGTGTATTGCACAGATGGTAAATTCCCAAGCTGCTAACATTCGTTCTGGCTGGAAAAACATTTTTTCAGTATTTCATCTGGCAGCCTCAGATCAAGATGAAAGTATAGTGGAACTTGCATTCCAGACTACAGGGCACATTGTCAGTGAGTATTGACCATATTCAGACATCGTGAAAGTGTACGTGACTCCAAAGACTGAGAGGCTTTGTTTATCTGTGGGCTCTACACCCTGCATAGCAAAGCCCACTTCATGTTTAACACTTTTCAACAAATCATCTGACAAAATATTTAAGAAACTAATTTAGTAAAATTATAGTTTCTTTCTTTGTGCCCTACAATAAAAGAAGTATCTCTTTCTAGCATTCTCTCGTAAAACAAACTGACCCTGAGATAAATTTGCTTAATGTGTACATTTCCATTTAAGTGACAAAATTTATAATTTTCCCCACCAGAAGAATTGTGTAGTCATGATTATGATGTCAGTATATCTTTTTCTGTGTTTCCATATTGTCCTTGTTTATGGCCCTGTTCAGGAGAAAGTGCTGAGCCAGGTGGCACTATGATTATTCTTTATGTATTTTTCTTTCCTACTCTAATCTAGATCTCAAGGCTTTAAGTGCCATAGGGATCTCTTTCATCTATCTCAACCTGTGCAAGTTCCTAAAACTTTTTCAGAATTGCTGAAGAAAGCTTTTTTTTCCTCAAAAGTGACTTGAAAATAGAGGCAACAGAACCATAGTGCTAGGGGAAGTCCTTCTGTAGATGTAGCTGTGTTTTGTGTAGCCCTCTTACACTCTGATCTTAGGCAGGAAGCCTCTCGCTCTATTCTTGCTTAGCTGTTAAATTTCCCTCCATTAGATTAGATGCTGCTGTGATTTATTTTAGACACTTATTTACTGTTGAAATCAAATGCCCTCTAGGTGATTTTTAAAATTTTTTGGGGGGTTCAGAATACATTTTTTACTTCTTATTACTTCTCAAGCATTTGACAACCCCAATCAGTGAACCAGTCTCTCATGACTTCTGCTACAATTAGAATTAATAGATTTTAAATCATGGCACTTTTTTTTTTCTTCTGTTCACGCTTTTCTCCCAGCAATCGTGTTTGAAAAACACTTCCCAGCAACCATAGATTCTTTCCAGGATGCAGTGAAGTGCTTGTCTGAATTTGCCTGCAATGCAGCATTTCCAGATACCAGCATGGAAGCGATTCGCCTCATTCGCCACTGTGCAAAATATGTTTCAGATAGACCTCAGGTACAGTCTGTATTCACTGAATTATAAGCGCTTTAATCAGCTGGGCTTTTATAAAGGAAAAAATACTTGCACTAGCCTTATTGGCTTCCCTTCAAGTTTCAGAGATTAATAAGAAATGTACTCGGAAGCTATAGGATTATAAAATGCCACACGCTTTGAAAGTATCATCAATTATTTTTATTATTTACTTTTATTCCCCCCTGCCCATTTCTAGTTGAACTGGTGGCTAGCTATCCTGAGAGCTGCTGGAAGTCAGCTATCTCAGCATCTGCTCTCTACTAGGCAATATTCTGAAGAATCACAGAATCTTAGGGGTTGGAAGGGACCTCGAAAGATCATCTAGTCCAACTCCCCTGCCAGAGCAGGATCACCCAGAGCACATCACACAGGAACTTGTCTGGGAGGATTTTGAATGTCTCCAGCGAAGGAGACTCCACAGCCTCTCTGGGCAGCCTGTTCCAGTGCTCTGTCACTCTCACAGTAAAGAAGTTTTTTCTGATATTCACATGGAACCTCCTATGATCCAGTTTGCATCCATTGCCCAGTGGATATGCCATATAAGCAGAAATGCTCCATATTCTCCAAATGTTATGGTAGATCCTCACTTCCAGTGCTTTCTCTAAAAAAACAGTAAGAGACTGTGAACTGCAAGCAAAAACTGATGCATCATCTTGTTTATTTTTTTAGTTTAGTTTCATAATATACTAAGCATTACCTTGAAAAACACTTCACCTTCTCAGTGTTATTAATTTGATTGCCAGCTCATCTGAGGTATCGAGGTATAATGCTAGTACAGCAGAGATAATTTATAGTCCAAATGGTGTTTTATTTTAAAGAATCTCTTATAACCCTATATAACCCTGTGCTTTCTTCTATAGGCATTCAAGGAATACACAAGTGATGATATGAATGTAGCTCCCGAAGACAGAGTGTGGGTGCGAGGATGGTTCCCAATTCTGTTTGAGTTGTCCTGTATCATCAATAGATGCAAATTAGATGTAAGAACCAGGTAACAATCAGTATTTGTAATTCAAATTTTAAGACTTACTTTTAAAATAGAAACAACTGTCTTAGTAAACGTAACTGTCACAAAATGACTCACATATTTAATTTAGGTGATATTGTGGGAACACCAGACTTTTTAAGAACACCTTAATAGATGCTGTAATGTAAAAATTAAGTCTGTGTTCTTTACATATGAAATTGTTATCTTCCATTATAACAAATACTGAATTTATGTGGTTGTGATGGCAGTATGTTAAATAGGTAAGTATTACATTCCTTTAAATACTAAAATAGTAACTGTTCAGGATGGATGGCCATGAAATCACAAAGATAAGAACTGTTTTAATAGTTCATTTGAAAATGAATTAAAGCTTAAGCAAATGAAAATATAGTCATTGTTTTCCATTTATTTTAGAGCCTGTCAATTTTTTAAAACAGCTCGACTCAACTTGCAATCACATGCTATGGAGGCAGTTTATGCATAGAGCACAGTAAAATGTAGCAGTCAACTTTTAACTTTCCTAACATTTACAAGCAGGCATCACTTTATTGTGGACAGTCAACATTTAATGCTCAATATGCATTATATCTCCCTCCCCCCCCCTTTTTTTTAAATAAGGTATTACAGTGGATTAATATCCAAATCTGTATTTTTTCCAGTGACAATACTGATCCTCTCTGTTCATTAGTAAATATAAATGAATGCTGTTTGTTGCAATGATACATGCTCCTGTTGCTTCTTACATTTTAATGATTTGTCATAGTTGACCTGGGTAAGCCTCATGTCCTATTTCTGGTTTTGCTCTGTTTAAAAAAAAATGTAAAATGCTCCATGCAATGAGTAGATCTTATTTTGGTGGGCTCCAACCACAACATTCTATGGAAACCTCTTTTTGTTGTTTTGGTTTTGTTTTTTTAATTCATTACCCCAGTCCTGCCTGCCTTCCTGTGCCTTGCCCATCAAACTTACTTTGAGGATTTTAAAGCTGGTTTTATAGCATGATTCATTAACTGGTTGAGGATTGCAAAAACAATTGAAAAAGCAAAGCTGTGCTGAGTTTTTTATTTTAAAAATTAACCACAGTTCTCAAAAGTGTTTTCTGGCTATTGCTGTGACTTTTAGGTGCTGCTTAAACCAGCAGACTTTCTACTTAGTTTTATCATACTAGTATAGCTCATCCTCATCAGATCAGTGTATAATGTCCTTAGCAGGACTTGAGTTTGTTGTTGCTGTTGCAGTTGGACATACTTGGTTTAGTGCATTTCTTTCTGTAACTCTTAATATATGTTGTTCTTTATTAATTTCAGAGGCTTAACAGTGATGTTTGAAATAATGAAGACATATGGCCATACTTTCGAAAAACATTGGTGGCAAGATTTATTTCGGATTGTCTTCAGGATATTTGACAACATGAAACTGCCAGAACAGCAGACTGAGGTGGAAAAAAATGGGCAAGATAATTTACATGAGTTCTATATTTCCGGTAGAAAACTTGATTAACAATATAGTTTATCAAGTAACATAAGGCAAACCTCAAAATTTGCATGGTTGACCTGTGGTTTTAGTAGCCTTCTTTTGTTTTATTAGCATTTTGTTGGACCTATTGTCACTTTTCTCATATTTTTCAGCCATGTATGTAAAAGACCTGGTAGTGTACACCATGAACAATCGAAGAACAACGTAAGATGCAAAATATCTAGGGTTTCTAGGAACTGCAGTTTTTACACATGATGACTGGAGTATGAGACAAGCATTGTTTCATGGCAGCATGCTCATTGGGATGAGGCTTGTCATCAACAGTGAAGTCACAGCTAGAAGAATTAAGTTCTGTTAGTTCAAAACCTTTTGATGACTAGGGCAAGAAATGCAAGCAAACAAACCCCAAAACAGCATTGTGCTTTCACTGCACCTTTTTGATCAGCCAGATTTTGACTGTCCAACCCAGGACCAGACACTGTCTTGACAAGGAAGTAAAAGAAAAAAAGAAATGGGCTAACTATAATGAGAATTAAGTATAAATTATTCATATTAGAAATTTGATCAAAATTGTGAACTGTTTGGGAGGCTTCATCTGACTTTTTGTTGAAGGATATGTCTCAGTTCCTAAATTTTTGTTCTCTGGAAAATATTTAGAAGGAACCCATAAAACTTAGAATCCTAGAATCATAGCATTAAACTATGATCTAGGATTAGACACTAAGTTTAATGTCAGTATCTCTTGATGGTGAGTGCTTATCAGTCCTTCCTATAACCTGGTCTCAGGAAACTGTCTGTTTCTGCAGTTTTTTTAAACGTGGTAGTTAGCAAAGCAAAAGTTTGGGCTCTGGAGTTTTGAAGTATAGAAAGGGATTGTATGTCATTATAAAGCAATTCAGATTGAGTAAATACATGCATCTGTCTGCCTGCTGGGTTCTATATCTTAAGTGTTTCACCTTAAACTGAATTGTAACTTATTTTTTTTTCCCTCCTAGAAAGCTGAATGGATGACAACTACTTGCAACCATGCACTTTATGCAATATGTGATGTATTCACACAGTATTTAGAAGTACTCAGTGATGTTCTTTTGGATGATATATTTGCACAGCTGTACTGGTGTGTGCAGCAAGGTAGGACTGTACCAAATTAGGTTAAACAATGTTAACCTTTTAGTATGCTGAATGTGAATAAACAAATGCACTCTTTGTCTTTTACAGACAATGAACAACTGGCACGCTCTGGTACAAACTGTTTGGAGAATGTTGTTATCCTAAATGGTGAAAAGTTTACCCTAGAGATCTGGGATAAAACTTGTACTTGCATGCTGGATATTTTCAAAACCACAATCCCTCATGCGTAAGATGACCGTTAATATTTATACTTTGTAAAATAGTTTAACTAGATGATTTACTGATTTCAAATTGTTAGATATCTAATAAATGAACAGAAAGCTGTTATGTGTGGACTAAATAGAAGCAAACTTTCTTGGAACATAATGATAAATTAGGTGCTAGATGTACTGCTTCTCTATTGTGAATGATAAACTAGAAATGCTACATGGGAAATTAGCAAAAAGCCCCAACATAACCTACCCCAAAACCGTAACTTGATTCAATTTTAAATGTTTAATTTTTTGAGACATACTATCTGATTTGTTTGTTCACTAGCAGAACGTTTGCTTTGGTTTCCATGTATGAGCAAGACTTAGATTTTTAGGTATTTTTATGACTGAATATTAGAAACCCTTCTAGAACAGCATTTTCTCTTAATATCTTAATATTTAGAGGCATTCAAAATTCTCTTGTTGCCTTTAGCTATATCTGATTTGAAATATGTGCATTATTCTCTTTGATGTTAATAGCACTTTTGCCTTTCAAATAGGTTATTTTTCTTAGGAGGGTATTTGACGCCGTCCAGACACTTCCCATCTCCTTTTTTAACTTTTTATGCCTTCTTTGAGAACTTCATTATATTATTCCTCCTTCTCTATCTGATAGGTTCTCAGCTTTTGCAGGGTAAAGTAAATCTTACTTGGATTTTATACACGAGCATAGGTAATCAGTCTCCTCTCCCATGGTGAAAGTCTGCCTGCTCTTTTGCAAACAGTTGCTGGGTGATACAAAACTGCTCTAAACAGTCTTTTCACTTTGACCTTATTTGATTAAAGCAGAAGCTTTTTAGATGGGTAAGAAAATACTATGGTAATAAGATACAGGTATGCCTTCATATTTTAAATAAATACTTAAATAGAAAAATGTCCATATTGAAGTGGACTTCTTAGGATATAATTTCTGATTGGTATTTTACATTTAATATATTTGGTACTGGTTTTGTGTCATCAGCAAACCCTTGAGGGTCCACTCTACCTCATCATCCAGATCATCAATGAAGATGTTGAACAGAATTGACTCCTGGGGTACAGCACTTGTTACAGGCCTCCAACTGGACTTTATGCCCTTGATCATGACCCTGTTGGCTTGATTGTTCAGCCAGTTTTGAAACTACCTCACTGTGTTCATCAAGGCCATTAGTCTTCATTATCTCATTTGAATAGTTTCTCTGATTCTTTTTATTTATTTTCTATTCCATTTATAAGGAAGCTTCATGGCAGCAAGTCTTGGCTCACTGGTACTGAGAAAGCCAGGGTGAATGCCCTCTTGTCCTAGGGAAATTTAAGAGCTGGAGTTGGTTTCTTGTATAAGTCGTGATGATCTGGCCTCTACTGGCTCATAGCGGCTTGTTACTCCAATACCTCATTTGCCAGACGGAAGTTGAAGACTTCATAGCCCCAGATAAATTACACTGTGTTTAGCAACCTCTAATCCAGAATAATCTGCAGTTTGTGCCCTATTAGCTTTCAAGAATCAATTCCATTCTCCGCTCTGCTTTATTTTTGTTTCATTACATGCCTGAAGATTTTATCCTTTCTTATCTCTGATTTGTCTTTTTGGTTATATGGTCTTTATTTGTATGGAGATCAGTAAAATGTTAGTGTAGGATCCTTAACACAATGGAAAAGATCTCACTTAGGATACAGAGACACAAATATCTATCAAGCATTGCCTCACACAGGTTGACACTGAATAGTTTGAGATCTTAGCAGTGACAAATAACTTTAATCTTACTTTGCGGCAATAGATTTGATAGAACAAGAAATGATGAGACCACTTCAGTTCTTTAATCCCATTTCCCTTGATTCTTGGCAGGCACAAACAGCCTCCATAAATTACAATTTATACAGAATTTTTTTAGTGCTTAAGGCACTCAAGACAACAACATGCTATAGGAAAACAGCAGGGAAGAGATCAGAAGTATTATCAGTGACTTGGTATCTCATAACAGCAAGGAATCCTAAGTGGAAAAAATGTTGAATCCTCAGTGGAAATAAAACCACAATGCTGGAACATACCTGAAACAGAGTGCAAAACATCTCCAGACATTCATGCTGATTTGTCCTGGGGTTGAATAATTCCTTATTCCAGGTAAAGCTTAAGGCAGTCTGAGAGAACAAGACCCACTAATGGCACTAGAATCCTGTCTAAAGTCAAATCAAATATTTCTGAGAAAAATTAATCCAATTCCACATAATCCAATTGCCCCTCCAAGGCAGTTGGCAGAAACGTTGAAGTTCAGAAGACACAATCCTTAATTTTTTCAGTATGTGTGAAAGAATAAAATCATAGAATGTCTTGAGTTGGAAAGGACCTCTAAAGGTCATCTAGTCCAACCCCCCTACAATAAGCAGGGACATCTCCGGCTAGACCAGATTGCTCAGAGCTCCATCAAGCCTGACCTTGCATGTCTCCAGGGATGGGGCCGCTACTAGACAACCTGTTCCACTGAACCACCACACTCATATTAAAGAACGTTTTCCAATGTATAACTAAAACAGAAATGAGTTTATTAAGTTATGGAAGTATCTATATCTGACGCTTTGTTTGGCTTCCATTAACTTAAATTAAGCAGAAAAGCCACCATATTGAAGTGGACTTCTTAGGGTATCAGTTCTGATTTGTATTTCACATTTAATAAATCTGGTACTGGTTTTGTTTTTTCCAGGCTGCTGACTTGGAGACCGGTCAGTGGGGAGTTTGGCTCTGGATCTCCCTCGGATGCAAAAGAAAAACTGGTAAGGTGCTGAAATAAAAAATATTTTAAAAGCTTGCAAGAGTTTGGTACAAATGTGTGGTGATGTAGAATATGTTAAAAGTATACTTAGTTTAAGACCATTTTTCAGTTTTTATATACTTGAACAAGTTTTCTTTCCAGATAAAGTGCTATTTAATGCTTAAAAATGGCAGGGAATTAATTGAGGAGGGGATGAAGGTATCTGTTTGCAGCAAAGCTGGCTTCCAGAAATTAGCTGTAGGTCATTCATTATCTGTGTATGTTTCAGGTAATATCCTGTGTCTGGTAGGTCTGTAATAACGCACTTAGGGTTTGAGTTGTTTTCTGGTTTGAGGTGTGGGTTTTGTTTCATTATGCTCAATATTCTCTTTGATATATTGTCATGATGAGAAGATGCTGGAGGTGGAAAGATTGCCAGTTAATTTGACTTTTTTTCCTTTAGATTTTCTCTGGTAATTAGAACTTAAACATCAGTGTTTAAATAAAAAATATGTGTAACAATCATATTTCATAGCACTGATTGAATAAATTCGGATTTGCCCACAAGTGGCAGCCCTGTAGCTACTTTGCTGCATTAAGTTCTTTACAGAATAGTGAAACATTTGATAAAAACTGTTCAAGGATATGATCTCAGATGAGTTCTGCTAACAGAGACTGAGTCTCTCCATTTATCTTTATGGAGTATTAACATAATTCACTTAGAACAGAATGGAAGTGTTTGTGATGGCCAGTTCTCACTATACAGGTACTTTACATCTGTGTGACTGAATGTGCTTCCTGTCTCTTGTTGCATTTGTAGTGGTTTGAGATTTAAAACATTTGATCTAAACGTTGGCCATGGTTTTGGTCCATTTATGTAAAATATAATAGCATGCACAAATGTCAAATATATTAGATGTCTTCATCATTAATAAATGTAAATCTTTCCCCCTTGAAATAATTTAACATTTATGTTTTCAAAGATCTTTTTTGTATTCAGTGTACTTTACAACTTCAAAATTAGCAGAACTTGTATAATAAATAGTGATAAAGGAGATATATTTTGGAACCTCTCTTGGTAGGATAGAATTTTTGCAGCCTTTAGATGTTTCCATCTGCTTTTTTCTTCATGTAGTTCAAATATAATGAAGCATTCTGCTGTCTATAGCTGTAATAGCTACTAAAAGTATTTATACTTCATAGGGATCAAAACACAGGTTATTTACTGGTAAGAGAAGTTAAGTGTTCTTTATAGGAACAGTAGGTGTAAATTTAAATCTTGCTAGCAGGACAATGCAGGGAGTTAATGTGTAGTTTCCAGTGGCTCTTAGAGAACAAATGTCAATAGAAATGCTGGGTAATTGAATGGGAGAGATAAATATCCCATATATATATATATATATATATAATGCTTTCCCATTAATGGCAAAATATTTTGTTATTAATTTCCCTCTTTCAACAAAAGCTTTCTGAATTGAAAGCGTTGGGTGTTGCCATTGTTTTTAATATTTTACATTCAGCTGATCAAGAAGGAAGATATGTATTTAAAAAAGAAACAACAAAAAACCCCAGTAATTCACCTTCCAAAGTAACTGAGTTCTAGCTCACAGGATAGCACAACATGGAGAATCAGATCACGTGGCAGAAGTCTGTTGAAGCAGCTCTCTGCTAAAAGAATTTTAAATTAGAGCATTTTTTTTGATACACAGATATTCTCCTCCTTCATAATTTTACTGTGGTAAATTCTTATAGCACCTACAAACACGTTACTAGGAGCTTGTAATTCAGAACATTCAAGGGAGCGAAGGCAAATAAAGATTAAAGTTTGGTGATACCTCATATTGTTTGCCCTTGACATTTAAGAGCTGTGTGTTCACATTTTCACCCGTTATAAGAGGAATTCAAATTCTCACAGAAGCCATTAGAGGGATTTATTGCAGCTCAAGGTAGATACTGCACTTCCCAGTATTGGAACCTTGCAGCAAACCTCACACACTTAATCTGGTTAAAGTCAAACCTGTTGGCTGACATACGAAATGCCTGGACAGCATATAAAAACCCGATGTGCAAAATACTACTCATTGACTTTGTTGTGTAATAAAGTATTTGTTACTTGTCACATTTTCAAATCTTTTTCATATACCTCTCTGACCTCTAATATCAGCTGTCACCAAAGTGAATTTTAAACGTGCAGTGTTGAAACAGCAAAGGTGTTAAGCTATGAAGAGCACAGCACTGCTGACAGGTAGCTCACAGAAGTTTCCTGTAAGTTGTTGTGGTTTTTTTCTTCTTTCTTTTCAGGATACAGTCTCCCAGAAGTCAGTAGATATTCATGATTCTATTCAGCCTAGATCTTCAGAGGCACGTCCGTATCAGCCCAGCGCAGGGTCCACAGTAGGTGAAGAAATGACAAAAACCAGGCCAACAGCAAGTGCGTCTTTTTGAGTGACTTGGCATTTTGTATCTGTTAAGAGTGGTATTTAAGCAGGCATTTGATATCTTTAGTCACAGCCCCAGCTGTAACTTGGGAAACATGATGTGAAGAAAATCACATTGATTATATTTTTGTCTTCATGTAAAATGACAAGATTCTGTTGGACTCTTGTGGGTCCATATTTTTGACCTGTTCTTTAAAAATCTAGAGTCCAGCTGCTAACTTGCAGGCTTTTCACCCAAAGCAAAATGCTAAAAATAGTACTCTCCTTATAATACTATGTAAATAGGTCCTTTTTCTCAAGAGCAAAGTTCTTTCTGTGCAGAATGCAACAGAAGCAATAGCTGGGGGAAAAAAATAAAATGCATTTACACTGATTTGAAGAGACTGTATCAAGCCCTTCAGGTACTTGTGCAAAATTGTGTTGGTGCTTAAAATGCTCACATCTGGTGGTTTTAGTACTTGCCACAAGTACAAAGAAGTATCTGTGGTGTCAGTGCTGTCCTTAGCCACTTCTGCTTGTGGAGAGTCTCAGCCTCTGGTTCTTGCCATTACGCTGATGATAACAGGGTCACTAATTTTGGTGGTGAAGAGGTAACATTGAGTATTTGTCCAATATATGGCAAGCAACTTTAAAGTCAGGAAATAGCTTTTTCAAACTGCCAGTTGTTACCATGGTGATCAGCCATGATTTTACAAGAGTAATTCAGATGGGTGGATTTTAGGTTTGGTTTATAAATGTGCTTGAAGTTAAGCTGTCCTTAACTTCCTCCCAAAATAGCTCAAAAAAGAAAAAAAAATGCAGTTCTTTAGTTAACAAGCATTTTTCTATTTATTTTTTTTTCCTCCTTTAAAGAATTTCCAGAACAGAAATTATTTGCTGCTCTTTTGATCAAATGTGTTGTACAACTGGAACTCATTCAGACTATCGACAACATTGTGTTCTTCCCAGCAACTAGCAAAAAAGAGGATGCTGAGAATCTAGCAGCAGCACAAGTAAGTAGAACTGACAGGTTATCTCTCTTTTTTAACAGCTTTGCCTCTAGTGGGTAAAAGTTCATGAAGTCCTGTAGTGTCTTCTAATTTACAGTTTTTAGAAGCACTTGAGAACTTCCAGCAGGCTGCTGAGATCTTTCATGTCTTGCATTAAATTGCATTTGCTGTGCTGGGGCAGCACATTGTGGGGATTAAAACATACGCAGTTTAGAGGCATTTTTGTATTGGGATATGTATACAACTTGTAATACTGTTTGAAGTTTAAATACAAGTATAGATGAAAACAGGGTGGGATTGAGTTATCACTGGAGCTTGCTGAGGACAATTGTGAAATTTTACCTGAAATTTCTTTTCTTTCTTTCTTTCTTTCTTTCTGTCTGTCTGTCTTTCTGTCTGTCTTTCTGACTGTCTTTCTGTCTGTCTTCCTGTCTGTCTTTCTGTCTGTCTTTCTGACTGTCTTTCTGTCTGTCTTCCTGTCTGTCTTTCTGTCTGTCTTTCTGACTGTCTTTCTGTCTGTCTTCCTGTCTGTCTTTCTGTCTGTCTTTCTGACTGTCTTTCTGTCTGTCTTCCTGTCTGTCTTTCTGTCTGTCTTTCTGACTGTCTTTCTGTCTGTCTTCCTGTCTGTCTTTCTGTCTGTCTTTCTGACTGTCTTTCTGTCTGTCTTCCTGTCTGTCTTTCTGTCTGTCTTTCTGACTGTCTTTCTGTCTGTCTTCCTGTCTGTCTTTCTGTCTGTCTTTCTGACTGTCTTTCTGTCTGTCTTCCTGTCTGTCTTTCTGTCTGTCTTTCTCTCTGTCTTTCTGTCTGTCTTTCTGTCTGTCTGTCTGTCTGTCTGTCTGTCTGTCTTTCTGTCTGTCTTTCTGTCTGTCTTTCTGTCTGTCTTTCTGTCTGTCTTTCTGTCTGTCTTTCTGTCTGTCTTTCTGTCTGTCTTTCTGTCTGTCTTTCTGTCTGTCTTTCTGTCTGTCTGTCTGTCTGTCTGTCTGTCTGTCTGTCTGTCTGTCTGTCTGTCTGTCTGTCTGTCTGTCTTTCTGTCTTTCTTTCTGTCTTTCTGTCTTTCTTTCTGTCTTTCTGTCTTTCTTTCTGTCTTTCTTATAGAGAGATGCAGTAGACTTTGATGTCCACGTGGATACACAAGATCAAGGGATGTATCGTTTTCTAACATCACAGCAGCTTTTCAAACTCCTTGACTGTCTGCTGGAATCTCACAGATTTGCTAAAGCATTTAATTCAAACAATGAGCAAAGAACTGCTCTCTGGAAAGCGGGTGAGTCAGTCACCTTGGAGAAATATTTTGCAAGGATGTGTTACTGTGTTTTGAATTGGCCTCCAAAATAGATCCAAAGTACTCTGATGCTGGATGTAAAATAGAATATCAGTCTGTAACTTTATAATCATAGAATCCCTAAGGGAAGGAGACTTGATCTGTGCAGGTCTAAGTATCTTTATTTCCTAAAATTTAAGATTTCACTGGGTTATGCCTGCTAAGCATAACCTGGCTGTAGGTGTCAGCCTGGAAGCTGCAGGCACAAAACTTGTTAGGAGCGGGGTTGTTTTACCTGCTCATGTCATTTTCTGAAACAGATGGAAAACTCTCTGTAGCATTGTGTTTAATCTATTTCTTGCACCGAAGTTTTCTATGCCATTTTTTTTAAATGGTGAATGCATACTGTGAATATGCTGCAAGCTGTTTTGTGCATTCATGTGCATCCACAGAACCACTTCAGCTTGAGCGAGATGTTAAAAAGCTGGTATGGACCTCCAAAGCTTTGGAAACTGGTATTGTAGGCATTTTTATCAAAACAAAGCAACAAAACAGTATTCACTAGAGATATATGATTGAGACAAAAAGGTCCATTGTTCAGGTGGTGGAATGCTCATTTATTGTACACCTAGGTTTCACATCTATTTGGAAGTTTATATAAAAATGTGTGCGAAACACAATTAAGGTATATATAAATAGGTTAATTTTTCACAGCACTCTTTAGTACTAAAAGTTGAGAGAGAATTTTCCCCCTCGTAAGATCACAGCTGGAGTGTTGTGTCCAGTTCTGGGCTCCCCAGTTCAAGAGGTATCTACTGGAAAAAGTCCAATGGAGGGCTGCGAGGGTGATTAAGGGACTGGAACATCTGTCATATGAGGAAAGGCTGAGAGACCTGGGGCTGTTCAGTCTTGGGAAGACTTAAGACAGGACCTTATTATTGTCTATAAATATCTGAAGGGTGGATGTCAAGAATGGGCCAGTCTCTTTTCAGTGGTGCCCTGTGATAGGAGGAGGGGGAACGGCACCAAGTTACAACACAGGAAGTTCCACTTCAACATAAGGAAAAACTTATTTCCTGTGAGAGTGACAGAGCACTGGAACAGGCTGCCCAGAGAGGCTGTGGAGGCTCCTTCTATGGAGACATTCAAAGCCTACCTGGACAAGTTCCTGTGTGATGTGCTCTAGGTGACCCTGCTCTGGCAGGGGGGGTGGGCTAGATGATCTTTTGAGGGCCCTTCCAACCCCTAAGATTCTGTGATTCTATGAAAATAATTGCATAAGGTGGTTCTTCTGTCTGTATGTCGAGGATGCTTAGAAGGAGAAGTAGGGAACTGTGAAGGAAAATGACGGATGAAACAAATCTTAATGGATGCTTGGAATTTCTCTAGGTTTCAAAGGCAAATCAAAGCCTAATCTTCTGAAACAGGAGACCAGCAGTCTGGCCTGTGGGCTGCGCATTCTGTTCCGTATGTACATGGATGAAAGCCGGACCAGTGCGTGGGAGGAAGTCCAGCAAAGACTACTAAAGTAAGGTCCACGAACCTGGAGATGTTATTTCTGATGTTAGAGAATGTTCATTTCTATTTGAAAGGATGGGCCTCCTCCATTCACACTAAACTTCGTAGAGCTAACACAGGATGGGAGGTGGTGGTCACAGCTCATACAATATGGTTTTATGTTGTGTGGAAAGTGCTGTACTTGCAGCTACTAGTGCTGCCTCAGCTTTTTGTTCTCATTACTTGTTTTGCAGGGGAAAACAAAGGTGTTGTCACCTTTTTTGTAGCATGTGAATAGGTGAGGGATTGTTAGAGGTCCACTTTAAAAAGAAAAACAACTTATCACCTAAACCCTGCTTTTTTCTTTCAGTAACCTCAGATATTTTAGAGAACTGATGCTGTTCTCATCTGCAGAAATGAATGCTGGGCTTGAGGAGCCTAAGGGCACACAGAAGCTTTTGATTTTTTGCTTATTCATTGCTGTGAATACTGAGGTTCACCTGAATCTTTTTAGCTTACAAAGTTGTTATGTCAAGATTTACAGACCAGGGAGCAGAGCTGAAAGCTAGCTGGTCACATCAGCATCAGATACATTTTTGAAGTCTGCATATCATTCTCTCACATGCAATTTAATACTTCTCAAAGAGCACTTGACACACTTCAAGGGATGATGTTTTGTCAGCATATTTAATACTGAAGTCCTAGGACTTTGGGTTTGAGTTGAACAAAATCTCTGCTTTCTTTTACTGATCAGGCTTACAGTAGCTTTCATAAAACAGTCGTGTTCTACTACAATGGTGTTCTATTAGTGTAGTTGCAAGCGAAAGCTCCCTCTCTGCAGTAGAGCTCAAAATAAAATACTAGTTATTAGTTTTTGTGTCTTTTCTCTCCAGTGTCTGCAGTGAGGCTCTGAGTTACTTCCTCACTCTTACATCAGAAAGTCATCGGGAAGCCTGGACTAATCTATTACTCTTATTTTTGACAAAAGTCCTGAAGATAAGTGATGAAAGGGTAAGTAACTGTTTGGAATGGAATTTAAGACAATGTTTACAAGTAAGAAGTAGTTCCAGACTCGTTCTTTATGCATAACTAATATATTTTACTTTTTAAACTGCTGCTGCTCCTCGTTGAGGGGAGTGCACGTTGAGCCTGCACTTGACAGATGCCATCACTAGTAATGCAGAGTGAGGCTGCAGTAAGTGATAAAATAAAATGTGTCTGAGAAAATTTAAAAGATGCTAAAATCCTTGAGAAATGTGTGTTGCTTTTACCCCTCTCCTGCTGAGGAAGAAGATTAGTGGCTGATGTTTTACTCAGAGAAATAACTGGTGTTGTTGCTTCCAGTGCTGCATGTTTATCACCGTGACCTTCTCCAAAGCAATTCTGCAGTAAATAAATCTGTATTTGGATCTCCTTTTATTTCTAACCAAACTTGGCTGAAATGTGGAGTGAAAGGGGCCAAGTACAGCAAAAAACTAAAATAGAAAGATTCTTCCTCTTGAAGAATAGGCATTAGCAAGGAGTTGTGTGTGGCTAGTGAGCATCTGTCAGAGTACATCACAGCTCTCTCAGCCTTATTCTAGCACTGCTGGCTTCAGTTCTAAAGATGTTTCTGCTTGTCACTTTGTGGGTTTCTCACCTTGACTTGGCAGAGTATTTAAAATTCTTCACTTGCAACACACTTACTGAGGTGCTTTGATGCATAATAGAGTAACTTTTGTTTCTTTTCTCCTCAGTTCAAGGCCCATGCCTCATTTTACTACCCTCTGTTGTGTGAAATTATGCAGTTTGACCTTATTCCTGAACTCCGAGCTGTACTACGAAGGTTTTTCTTGCGGATTGGTGTGGTTTTCCAAATATCCCAACCACCAGAACAAGAGTCTGGAATAAGCAAGCAGTAGCAGATAGTGACTGAGTATTGCTCTGTTTAAAAGTTTATATTCCTCAGCTAAATAAAAGGACTGGGTAGCTGAGCCATTCTGTTTGGACATCCATAAAAATGGTTTCTTTATATGGCAACGTGTATCCAGGGGTTAACAGTACAGATGCTTACAACTGTAATTAAGGCTTGCAACACTCCAGTCCCTCTCTTTCCTGATGGATTATCTCTATCGGTTTCTCTTGCCTGGCTCATGCTGAGCACAGAGCCAGGTTTTAGCACAGTCCTCTTGTCAGCACGGGCTGCAATATCCTTTACTGTCCTAGACAGCAGTATAAGCAACAGATGTTTATGGCAGGTGTGGAAGTAAAATGTACCCAAAGAACTATATATGTAAAGGTTTGATCTTCTGCGAGAAGTACAACTCAGGAGAGCTGTATTTTGAAGGATAAAATGTTTATAGTGAAAAGAAAATGGAGATTATTGTTCATGGTAAAAGATATCTAGCAACTATGTCTGATATTCTTATTCTAAGATTTTTGCACACTCAGGCTGTCTGAGACCTTGGTAATCATCCTTCTGTGAAAAATGTACAGAGATGCAGGTCTGTAATATAAACTCTTTAACACTATACAGTTCTTCCTGAATTGTTTTATTTCTGTATTATTGATTTGCTGAAAACCCACAACACTTCATTGTTTACCAAATGCACTAGAAGTTTGAGTTTATTTTTTGGGGTTGTGATTTCTTTTTCCTTTTTCTTTTTTTTTCCTTTTTGTTTTTGTTTGTTTTGTTGTAGCCCAGAAGTTAATTGTTGCTGACTTTTGTCAAGAACAGAGATAGAAATATCAAGATTGACATAACTACCAGTAATATACTTGTTTTAGGGCTTTTAAATATAACGAGCCATTGAAATGATGATCCCTCAAGGACTGGAACTTGAATCACTGCAAACAAGTCTAGGTTGTGTCTGCTGTCGAGATGTTTTTTGTTTGATGTAGATTTCACTCTTATGTACAGAATTTAATGTTGAATATATTCAAGTAACAAATCTGGCATGGTTTGGGGACGGTTAAATCTATTGGAAATGTATTCATACTGTGAATTGTGCTCTGATGGTTAAAAGACAAGATTGTCAAGCATTCTGTATTACAATGGATGTAGAAATTTTTTCCAGATGGACAAAATGTATATGGTACAGATATGTAAAGTTTTCTATGTAAAAAAAAATAATAATTCTGTACAACTTTCTGTACAATATTTGGTTCTCATCTGGCATATTCTAATCAGGTTATAGGTCAATAAAGTTTTTGAACTCTTTCATCAGTGCAATCAAAACCAGCCTAATCCACAGCTACTTGTTTTACAGTTCCCTTTGCCTCTTGTGCTCTCATTTCAGAGGAACAAACCCCAGCCCTCCAGGGGCAGAAAGGTGGGTGCCCTTTGGTTGACTAAGATGTATCTTCTCCCTGATAGGCAAATACAGGATGAAAAAAATGGTAAGTCTAAAAAAAAATCAAATAAAAAGGAAGAATAAAAATGTGTGTAGGTTGACTAGTCAAATGAACCCTACAGTGCTGCACAGGTAGAATCTGAAATGCTGCGTTTGCTTTTTGGAAACTGAAGTAATACAGTGAAACAGACTGTGGAGTAAGGGTGGATGGGAGGGAAAGCTGCTCATGGCTTGGATGTGCATACGCTTTGCTGGATAAAGAACTGGTTGGATGGCTGGCTCCAAAGAGTTGTGGTCACTGGAGTTAAATCCAGTTGGTGGCCGGTCACAAGTGTTGCTCCCCAGGGCTCAGTGCTATATATATATATATATGCTGTAGCCTGGGTCTTGAAGAACACTAAGCCCCCTGCAGCACTCCCTGGCCATTGCTGTCATACCCAAACTGATGAATGTAAGAAGCCCTTTGGCTGATGAGCCAAACACTCATGGTAAAAATATTAGCCTGGTTTGGCACTGCCTCTGGGAAGAAGCTAAGCACAACACAATCCTGGAGTAGAGCTCTGCTGTGGCCTTCAAGGTGGCATTTTAGTAAATGGAAAGCAGTTTTTACAAACTATAATTTTGCTGCTGCTCAGTGTTTGGCCCCTGTGTGGGAATTCCTAACCAAAAGGAAAGGCACAGTCATACCCCTGCTTCACCTTGGTGTTTCAGTGGTTCACTGAACTCCTACAGTCTTCCTTTATCTACAGGTCCTCACTAACTTGTCCATGTGGTTTCCTGCTTCTTTGAAGACAGCCTTAACAGTCTCAGATGTTGGTAACTTAATGGAAGTTTAGCAAATAATAACTGTAGAAAACTAAGCATTCACATTTTAGTACCAAAATAATTTATTAACTCTTAAATCAGAACCATAAATTAAATATATGCAACAATATCTGTATATCCAGCACGTGACAGGTTAGGGAACTTAAGTTAAACTGCTAATATTATTTTTTTTCCATAAAACTGTTTGCTGAGCTTTCATGCAGGATAGCACTCATCACTGTATGAAAAGCAAGTGCCCTTCTCCAAGTTATTTACTCTTTTGCTGAAAAGCTTAAAATGTATCTCTGTAGTTAGGTTACTTTAGGAATTTGGCTATAAACAAAACTAAAAATTAACTTTGATTTAACATCAAACACACACACACACACACACAATCTTTGTGGTAAGCCCAGCTCTGAGGCTGAACTTGAATCAAAAGTGCAAAAGCTGCCAAGCTCTTCCTCCACTTCCCTCATCATGTAATAGAAAAAGAACCATCCCTGCTCTAACATTACACTGCACCTCCTGCTCCTTTGTTATTGCTGTTTAAAATTCTACACCCTGCTCCACACAGCCTCCATGGAAGAGACCCATCAGGGCTGTAGTGCTGAACAGCCCCTCCCTGCCACAAGGCACAACTGGTTCCCACCTCAGCCATGGGCAGTGGAGAGGCCCTGCCAGCTGAGCTGCAGCCTGGCTTCAGGGGACAGCTTTGCTGGGCTGGACTGCTCAGCCATGAGCTGCTGGAGGGTCTCTGAAGTTCCTGGTCGCAGCCAGCGCTCTGTTGCAACTGTGTCAACAGAACTGGGCCGTCTGCCAGCGTTGGGTGGAGTGTGCTTCAAAAGGTCATCTGCTTCTCCCAAGGAGATGTCTTCACCTGGAAGCAAAGAAGAGCAAGGTTCGTATGTTAAAGGGGACAGCAGGATGTTACCACATCCTACCATAATGATTTCTATATGGAACAGGCTTGTTTGTCTGCAAGAAATGCAGAAATAATGCTTTTAAGTTATATTTCTTGCTACCTAACACACATTTTTGATGTTCTGGGAAACAGCTCATCTAGAGTCAATAGCTAAAGACTCCCAATTCTTTGTTCTCTAATGCCAACAGCTCCTCCCCTGCCAGATCCCTGAGGGGCCCATACAGGCAGCCTTGGATGAACTTGGTAGAAGGTTCCTGCTCTCCTGAAGCCTCCTATTATAGTGACAAGGCAAAATGCACAGAAAATACATATAAAAATAAGGTCATTAAATGATAGTATTATAGCTAAACACTCTTGTAAAAACAGTCTCTCACTCAGACAAGAACCTGGGAAGGAGAGATTTTAACATAGGTAAACAGTGACATTGTGAGCAAGTCTGTACATCACAGTCCAGCATAGCTAGTAACAATAATGCAATGTCACTCAAATGCCTACTGAGGTAAGTCATCTTCTAGCAACATCTTCAGGCTCCTTTGGTGCTGATTTTGGAAAGCAAAACAGATCAGTTACAGGACAAAACTTGCTTAATTAGAATTTCAACACTTGGTATCCTCCACAAAAAAAGCTCTTCTTAATTGTCCCCATATAATGAATTTTCTTTGGAGTTGTCACTTGATAATTGACAGTTTGTATCTGGAGGCTGGGGATAAGGACACCTCTTTCCTTTGAAATACTGATTTAGAAATGGTGTCTAGATTTCTGCTGAACAGTGACTGCAGAGCACACCCTGAACTGCAGAACCTTCTGCCCCGAGGTGAGAACAAACTCCTGCAGTGCCCTGGAGTGAATCCTTGTGTTTGACTTGTCAGCCTGCACTTCCCAGGGATGAGGGATCATGGTGAGCTCCAGCATTCCTTTACTTAAAGACAGAAGAATTGCCTAAGAAGTCTCAAGCAGTTTAGGCAACCTCTCTTACCCATAGCAGGGTCTCAGCCACATATCTAATGTGTCAAAGCTGTAATAATTCTCTCTTCTGTATCTGAGTCTACTTTTGTTTATACAGTTAGGAACATGCCTGTATTGTCTGCTGGAAAAAGTAGCTGCTGGCTGGCAGAGACTTCATCATCCAGAGTACTCACCAAGTCTACATTGATGGGAATGGTTTTTTTGGATGGGTGAAAACGGGAGGAGGCCTGGCTCCAATATGCACTACTTTTCCAATTAAGAAAACAATTCTAGAGTGGCCCTAGGATTCCCACATCAGTCTCGTAAAAGAAAGGGAACTGATATGAACAGAGGCTCCTTATTGTGCCAACAGGATCAGCTCTTAAAATTTATCAAGGCCTGTAAATTGCCATCTCCTGGTCATATAAAAGGCAGATAACTAGTTAGGGTTCCTTAATTACATATTTGACAGAGTTGTTTTCTCCCAGCAGTGTCACCAAGGGTGGAGGTGACAGTCCTAGCTGTTGGGAAAAGCAGGAGGATGGCCCAAGGGTTCTATCAAACTGTGAGGGAAAAGAAAGAAAACCACTTGGCTTCACACTTTTTTTTTTCTTTTTAAATGTCACTGGAGGAGTGCAGGCAGCAGTGCAGCCCTGACCACCACAACTGAGCAAAAGGATCTCTTATTCCATTTCCAAGAGACACATATGTGCTCCAAAAAACAAGCAACATACACAAACATAAAAGTGTACATATATATACACATAGAAATCTCATATAGCTAAAGGCTGAAGCGCTGGAGACAATGACAAACAGAAGGCAAGCAAAATAGAAAGTATAGTTCACACTATATAAGGTGAGATAAAACAAGGGCAGAGAAATAAAAAAGTTCACATAGCTAAAAAGTTTGGGTGGAGTAAAATCAGTAAAGCATTTGTTCAGATTATAGAGGAAATTAATAAGAATGGGGGGTTTTCAGTGATTTAAAACTGACAGCGAGATGCTTAAAACAAACAAGAAAAGGATGGAGTGCTTGTAAGGGCACCCCTAGCAACAGACTCAGAAAAAATGTCAGCATCTGTACCCTCTTTAAGTTTATAAAAAGGATGCTGACACTAATTGCCCAGATAGCACAGCAACTGCCTCCTAAAACAGGGATATTTCATAGAATTGTGGAATGGTTTGAGTTGGAAGGGACCTTAAAGATCATCCAGTTCCAACCCCCTGCACGGGCACCTTTAATTATTGCAATTACTTGGTATTCACTGTGTTACCTCTACTACCCAGAGCTTACCTAAGTGAGCAGATTTCTGCTGTTGGTCAGTCAGTCTCCACAATCGTTCTTCATTCCTACCTTTCAACTGATCGATGTCGAGGCTGAAGCTCGAGTGCAAAGAAAAGCTGTCAGGCTGCAGCAATGGTGTCTGGCCCAGGGGAACATCCTCCTGCAGCAAATCCAAACACGCACAAATCCTTCAAAATGGCATCCTTTTGAAAAGGACAAATAGCTACACAAGTACACTCTCAGTATCCCCATATAATGCAGCCATAAGGAACCACAGGAACCATCTGAAGTTAGGTCTGTGGTCCCCCTTAACGTTTAATCCACTGCTGATACATACTGCACACTCCAGAGCTCTCTGCTTCATTCGTCTCCTCTCCCTTGCAGAAGAAAGAAGCTGTGGTGATAAACTGATTTCTCGTGAGGCAGGAAACACTTCCCCATTAGCATCTGGAAAAAATGGTGAAGTCACTTTCAAAGAAATAAAATAACTAGACAGTGTTCAATCCACTTTATGTTTTTTGAAATGAGCCAATATATTGTATTTTATTTAATCACAGGAATCAAAGGAATGTACTTGTTAGGAAATCTTGCATAAAGCCTGTGATAATTCAGATGCAGAAAAAAGAACAAGGTACAGCAACAGCAACAAGGGATGAACTTCAAACAAAGGTAAGGAATATCTTGATACATAATGAGATCTCTCTTATCTAGAGGATAAGACATTTCACACTCTGAAAATCCACCACCTACCTCATTTCACCATATCTTGTTTACACCTAGATCTTTAAAGAAATCCACTACTCAAATGAGTATAGTATCTCTACTTGAAAAAGAGAACACGAGGCAAATTGGAAGCATAAAAAGATACAATCATGTAATAAATGATCACAGAATCACAGAATGGTTTAGGTTGGAAGGGACATTAAAGATCATCTAGTTCCAACCCCCCTGCCATAGGCAGGGACACCTCCCATTAGATCAGGTTGCTCAGAGCCCCCATCCAACCTGGCCTTGAACACTTCAAGGGATGGGGCTTCCATGGCCTCCCTGGGCCACCTGTTCCAGTGCCTCAGCACCCAGAATATATAATAATGTTTCATGGAATATGAGAACATAAGCAATGCCTTAAGCAAATATCCTTAGTCATATCTTACACCTTTTCATGTAATGAAGTGTTGGAATCCATTAAAACAGTAATAAGTAAGTACATTTTTTTATCATACCCCCATCATGTTACAGTGGGGGGAATTTATTTTTAGATTATAGATGAACCCTAAAGTGATGTCTCTGCCTCACACTTGTTTTTTGCTCTTCCTTTGCTAGTTCTGGAAACTACTTAAAATACAAACTGTTTCAAACAGTTACATTTTTTTTCTCTCTTGGACCAGTACCCACTGTTTGGATGCTGGTTGATGGCTTTGCCACTGCTTGGTGTGGACAGTGGGCTCTGTCTTCTAGTTCAGTCCCTCTAGTAGCTCCAAGAACAGAGCCTCCCAGAAAAAAGAAGACTCTGCTTAACAAAGCCAACAGAGAATCCATTACCACCAATTATTCTTTGTGACAACAAAGTCACCTTTTGGAAAGGCTCTTATTCTAGTATGACATACTAAGTTTAAAAAGAAAAAAAAAAGAGATAAGAAAGATAAAATAGTGTAAATATATATATAATAAACACAGTACTGAACAATTGTACAACATTTGTCTGAAAATATTTGGTTTACTAATGGACATACTGTGATGCTGTAAATAAACCATGACTGTGGGAAGAATGGGTTTTTTATTTCCTAGCAATATCAAAATAAATTGGAAGTATTTTGTATCATATTCATGAGTTTCAAAGATCTTCAACTGAAATTTTAAAAGAAACAATTGGTTAAGTTGAAAATTGAAATACTTCAGTTTGAAAAATAAATGTGATTGATATCAATATTGAGGAAGTTCAAAGAACCCAAGACAGATTATTTTATTTTAATTATTTAATATATTCAGTTGGTTTTTTTCCCTAGAAATTGAAATTTTACTATCCTCTCCACTTTCCCTCCCTCCGTGTCCCCAAAGGTGCTCAGGCTCCCATCACAAATGTTTCAAGTAAAAAAAAAAAAAAAATTTTGAAATGGTGTATGATAACAATCCACTTCTCAGAATTCTAGTTACAAGGTCATTTGAACACTTCATTATATTATGAAGTGCTGTTACTCAGAATACAAAACAAATTGTTTAATCACGTGAATTTATCACAAGAGAAACAAATTACAAGCTACACAAGAATTTATTTACACCTTTAGGGTTTCACCAGTGTAAGATGCTACCTGTTCCTTTAAGCATCTATCATTCTATGTAGATGTGCTTTCAAATCACTGCATTAACACTAATGAATTCTAGGGTTTCAAGTGAGGAAAAAAAGGACAAAGAAATTGATAAGCCTCTTTATTCCCAACTGTCTCAAGTTTCTGAGCCTTAGGAGATAAAGACAATTTCCTTTGTAATGCTGACATCTATTACAATATTGAGTTAGATTTTAAATCCATGACAAAAAAACCAAAACCAACCCAAAACCCCTAGAGGGTAGTGTTATGTTCCTCTTAGGAAATGAAAAACATTGTTAAAATACACCACAACTATTTCACAAAAGACCCTCAGACAATGTGAGCAGCACAATTCGCAGAGAAGGCAGCCCACAGATAATGGGAATTTTTATTTTTCATTTCAGGGATGTAAGCCACCAGATTCATATTCAGAATTTTAATAGCTATTTATAAAGCCCAAATTATGCAAAGGTAACAAAGTTTTAGTTAGTGCCCACAGGTCAGTATTGGGGAACATGTTTTTCAACACAGTCATAAATAATATGGGGGGAAAAAAAGAAAGAAAAAAAGAAGGAAAAAAAAGAAGGATAGTAAATAGTATGATAAGCTAACTCTGTCACCTCAGTAAGCTGCAAGAATCAGTTGGAGGGGAAGAAGGTAATAGGAGAAAGGACTATAAATACCATGAACCTTGTGAAAGTGATGAATAAAACCAAGCACCCCGTGACACAGACGGCAAATTCAGGGCAGATGAAAGGAGATACTTCAAACAAGACATAGTGTGGAAATTTATCCACACAACAGTGCTGATGGTAAACAGTTAGAGGGATTCAAAAACGCTGATTCTGACTCATGAAATAGAACCTACTGAAGACTGAGCTTATCAGATGCAAACAGAAAGCATTTGAGTCAAGAAGGCTCTGAGCTACAAGTCAGCAGGGGCTGGAAAAGCTCCCGCAGTGTTCCCATGTCCCTGCCCTCCTCCTGATACTCTTCCCCATGTGCCACCCTTACAGACAGGGTATTTGGCCAGACTCTAGACTGATGGACTTTCATAAAGCTGCATCCTTTCCTCATTTGGCCTGTAAATAATAAATACTATTTCCTAACCTGAAGAAGAACGTATTGCAGATTACACTGAGTACCAGATTTACTGAACAAACCTGAAAGCCCTGTCCTGTGCCCTTCCCAGTGCCAGATTCTATCTTGTCCCCCAGGATTTGCACATTAACAGAATAAACTCAAGTACATTTCAAATGAAAAATTCTCCTTTTAACCAAAGCCAGAGATAACAATCATGGGTATATGGAAACATATCTAGTTTCATTAAAAAGCACTTGCAGGAAGCTACTGCATCTCCCCTACAGCAAAGAATAAAACCTTGTGAGATTATTTCCTATAGATGATTGAAGAGGATTTCAGGGTGCTGCAATGCCTACTAACAGAAAATAATGCATGAACGCCTGAGCTAGTTGGGTTGTTTTTTTTAAGAGAAGTTCTAGCCTTATTATTTCTAGTAACTGGAAACAAAATACATCTGAAACAGCAGTTTTACCTACATGCATATAAAGGCTGAGTAAAGAGACATAAAACAAGTGAGATATAGTCCCCTATATAAAAATTTTAAGAAAACAAAAATTAATCTAGTTTAGATGATTTAGAAGTGACAGTGCTTACAAGTAAGATGTTGCAAGGTATGGAAAATGGTGTGTGAACAACAGAAAAGTGAGTACTTGAGAATGAATCACTAGTTTATACCCATATAATTGTACTTGAAATCAAGAATGCTTGAAAAGTGAATAAAAATGAAAACAACTGCTGGCTGCCCAACATTTATGTTTCACTAGGGACAGCTCATAACTGTAAGATGTGATTGCCAATAAATTATTTGCTGAAGAACAATACGAGAGCATTGCATATTCTACCATTGCTGAGCAAAGCTGGGAAGATGTCAAAAAAAGCTCCTTGACAAGGCTAACGTCCCAGTCAGAGCACAACGAGCATAGACAGATGCTTTCTCATTAAAAGATATGAAGTGGTATAAGGCAAGTGAGCAGCATCGTTCATTTTAGGTGTAACCTTTCCAATTGATTAGAGTATAATTCCACGAAGATCTGCATTTTAATTTGGAGGCATAATTTTCTAACACTTTAAAACAATGCCTATAGCTACACCCACATAGCAATAATCATTTTGGAGACACATCGTTAGATTTAAACACGTTTGTACACTCAGAACATGCTTAGGGGAAGCATAAACTCACCAATAAAAGCACTATCTGATTCCAACAGTGAATTTTTCAAGCATTCAACAGATTCATTCCTGAGCTGCAAAAGGGAAACAGAAAACACAAATTCAGATGCCCCAACATCTTTCTGAGGCCAATTTATAATTAATGTAAACTCACTGCCAAACTTCTGCAAAGCAAACAGCAGCTCTACAGGGTCTTCACTTTATGGCTATATAAAAAAATGTACATTTTTAAATACCTCATATTCTCTTTAAGCATTAGGGTTTTTTTTACTTTTCTGTACTAATCACATTTGCTGAAGGTGCCTACACATGGCAGCTGTTATGGTGACTTGTGTATCACAGACACTTCCATCAGGAATTCTATCCTTGTCACTCTGCTTGAGTTTCAGGTCAGCCAGCTCTAGAAGTGAGCTTGGATCCTAAAGTTTGCATGAAGCACTGATCCAGTGAAAAAACATTCCTTACGTTTCATGTATCCTACCACATACAATTTTTTATATTAAAGCATTAAAATAACAAATTTCTTCAAAGTAACAAGAAGCAGTAGGAGTAACACTTGTAGTTCACTGTATAGTTGCAAGCATTTGTTACAGAAATTCTACTATTGAATCATTTATGTTGAAAACCACTCTGAAATGAAAGCCATAGAAACTATCAGAGGAAAGAAAACAAGAGAACACGAATCTTCTACTGCAAATCATTGCTCTGAAGAAGAATTTCAGGCAACAAATTACAACTATAAAATGCATTAAGGTGATTTAAAAAAATAAATTATTTCTGCACATAGTTACAGTGTTATCCTTGAGGCTAATGGCTTTGCTCTTGCAGAGTTCTTAATTTGGTTTTGTATAGTTTCATGTTCCTGTGAGACAAAATGAACTCAGTGATTCTGTAGTTTGGGATAGTGCACAATTCCAATTTGATAGCACTTCCCTTCACACTTTACCCCAAGTCAGAAAATAAATGTCCTATTTCAGACAATGAATGTAACTGTTGTCTGTGTGCATCACCTAAGCAACCTGAATGCAGAGCAACTGCCTCTGGCTTGGCTTTTTCTACTAATTCCACCCCCCAGTAGCAATCTAACATCATATGAATATAAAATAAGTACCCATTAATATAAAAAGAAAGGAGTTATAGAATCAAACTACCTCTATATACAAACAACTTGTAAGTCAAGTTTAAAGAAGCTGTTAGTCATTTTATTGACAAGCAAGAGAACTAAATAAGCTTGCTGTCTTTTAATTTCAGTGTAACTCCTTTCTCCAAATCTGTGAAAGACACAGTATTTCTCACACTTGAAAAAGGCAAAGTAATATAATAAAAAAAAAATCTGTTTTCTTCTTACCCCTTCCATGGTTTGTGGGCTACAGCCAGAAGCAGAATCATCTTGATCAATAAAAACCACAGAGACAGGGGATAAAACAATACTATTGACATTAAAATAGTTAATACTAAAGCATACTAAGTTTTATTAGCATGTTATTAACAAAATTAAGACCACTATGCATTACTTCTTTAAAGTTACCCACGTTGTAGTGAATATTGTTACAACATTTGAATGCAGTGTTTATTCGAGCTTCCTTATGTCAAGAGACATTCTTGAACAGAATCAGAGAAATCATACAAAACCTGGTTGTATTTTATTTCTAAGAACACTGAGCATGTCAAGCTCTCACAAGAAATGTCACAAGGAACCAACCTGCTAATGCATTTATCAAAAAGCAGCGGAAGAGTTTACTGTTCTGTAGTTTTCTTTCAGAAACAGTAACCAAACTATTTTCTCTTTGATTTCTCTGAAGCATGAAGTACTAGTTAAATTACTTTCAGGAAGCCAAGCAGAAACAGTAATTCTAGGGCTTGTGCTTTTTAATTCCTATCAAATACAAAACAAATAAAAATAATAGCAGTTGTCTTGGACTGTTCATTCCTCACCTTCTGTTTCTCTTCTCATTCTCAGTCTGTCAAGTTTCCTCTTCTGCTCCCTCAACAGTGCCTGCTGTTGAATCTCTAGACTCTGGTCATCTTTTGGAGGATCAGGATACATGTGTCTCAAGCCCATACGTGTTTCAGAATCTAGAGCAAAGAGATGAAACTTATTAACCAACGTTTATGACCAAAAAAAATAATTAAAGAACTAGCTGCAGATAAAAAGTCATAAAATATTAGAAATAATAGTGATAACGGCCAAGAGGATGAGTCACTTTAGCAACGATCTTACAATTTTACTATATTAAAAATACATTTTCTGGTAAAGGAGAAACAGAACGTTACACAGAATCTTATTAAATTCACTCTACTTTCAGTAAGATCATAATATCAAATGCATAAGAAGTTTAAGTAGCAAAGACTGGATGCTGGGTGAGTGGTCAGAGTGGTAACTCAGCCTCACAGTGCTGGGAATTGCATGCACTTGTAGAATTGGCCAAACAGAGAGAAGGACACACACCCCAAATGCTGCCTGCAGAGGGTGATGTGTTTGGGCAGTGGCTGTGAAAAGCCTGATTTTTGTCTTTAAATCCTGAGTGGTGTGACAGATGGAGGGAAAGAACAGACATTTCACTACCTTTCTTCATCAATACCTGCCTTTGTATTTAAGTTCATTAAATTCCCAGATATTCTGTATATTGACAGGAGCTTGTGCTTCCTTTGCTGAAGGTGGCCTTACTGGAGCCTGCAGCCTGCCCATCTCAAATATGTCCTTTGGATTCTTCTCTCTCCTCCCACTTGACATGGTTGTAAAACAAGCAGAATATAATTTAGCACTGGCATATTAATGAGTTGGATGGACATACAATACTGATCAAGTTCACATCTCCTATCCTTAAATAAAGCTATTATTAAAATAGGAAAATAAATTTGAAAGTAAGAACATTGCATGTTGTGTTATAAAAAGAGGTAATCTACTTAAAATCAAAAAAACCCTCATACTTCATGGAGTGGAACTAAGACTGATTATCTGATGAGTCTTTTCCAACTAATTGGTATGATTAACCACTACATTTTTGGAAGTAAATCAATTTTTTGAAATAAAAAGGGTATGATTTTCAATAAGGAGAAACTTCCACAGCAGTGTGCTATTCATTAACATACTCAGCAGCAGTAGTACTGCCGTTGACCGGCACAAATCATGCCCTAGGCATCTAGTTTAGATCATTCTCCAAGACAGAATATTGCAACTTCTGACCTTACCAGTACAGTCATTCTGAACTTCAGTACGATTATTGCAAATAAATTATACACATTAGAAAAAACAAATACAATTTTATATACAAGTTCAATTTTTATACTTTCATTTCACTTCTGTGTATTAGCCAACTACACTGCTACCTGCAACTAATACACAGTAGCTTTGAGTTCCTGTGCGAAATCTGTCTTGTAAAGCTGGAGATTAAATTCTTACCGTGTAATTGGTACCTCATCACCAGTGACTGCATTTTGTGACTGTTTCTGCAGTTGCCTCTCTTCAGTATGGAGCCGCTTCCTCATCTCTAATAAGTCATTTACGACGTTCCTTTTTTCCCCTAGAATTTAACACAAAGAATTTAAAAATGAAGGGTGTTGCAGACACATCTCTGCCTACCTGATAAATGTAAAGTGGAAAACAAAAAAAGGAAGAGATCATTGCTAATTGAAACAAAGATTATACAAACAAAGGAACCACAGTATTTCATACACTAGACATCAGGGTCAGAGCTTGTATTTTGAGACAGAACAAGGACTGGAACCCCCAAACAGCTGAAAGCATTCAAGCTTCAATAGTTTCACTCCATTCAAAAAAGGAAAAGCTGTGAAATAACCAGCAGGTGGGCACTGCAAGTAAATAGCCTCATTTTGAAATTAGCAAATCTACACAGCTCTCAAGAGTTCCAGAGGCACAGGAAAGGAACTGAGCTGCTATCAGCAAGCACAAAGCCTCATTTCTGTTTCCTGACTCAAAGTGTGGAATCTCTCTGCTCAATGCAGACTTGCTTACATGTTCAAGAGTTTTAACTTCAACGTGTATTTCCAGTAGGTACTTACATTGATTTTTTAGACTTACTTTGGGTCTAAGCTGTTTTTTGTGGTCAGAACAGCATTCCTCCACAAGGCAGGACAGTTTCATAGATTTCTTACTTTCCAAGTAAGACACTTAATGACTTAGTATCTTACTGATTTTAATCTGTGACCTGAACCTAGCAGGGAAGCAAGTTTAGTAGCTTAAATCCTCAAACACAAATTTAATTCATATACCTTTATTTTTCTCACGAGAAATGGTCTGAGTCAATCGATTTCCAAGAGATGCGTTAAAAAACACTCTGCCTTCTGTTTAGGGGAAGATCCATAACTCACCAGAATGGACACAGGTACTGACAGCTGGGAGTTAGCATTTGTAGGACATCATTTACTGTTACATTCCACTCACACTTATAAAAAATAATCAGAAGAAAAAATACTGCTTTCCACCCACGTATTGCCAAGGTAACTAACATATGAACAGCAGAGGAGATCCTCCCAGCATGTCTGAATTTTAAAACCACCACTGAAAGCAAAGAGGAATGAACAGAGGACTAGGTAGATTAACAAAGGAAAGTAGAATTTACAAGTTAGCACTGCAATGCTGTACACACTGTCAGTGTAATTCATTACTCAACCAATCCAAAACCCTCCCATTTTGCAGTGTTCTGGGCACAGTGGTCACCACTGTCCTGACTAAATGATCTTGCACTTCCCATGCAGACTATTCCATTAGCAGGACTTTCAGGAAAAAATACTTCCTAATGAAGACCCATAATAAGTGCACTTTTGTTGTGTACTAATACTTCAGACATACCATAATACATTGATAATAATAAGACAGAGAAAATAACCACATAGAATTCAACCTTTTAAGCACTATTCCTTTGCAAGCAAGAGAATCAGAATAATTTTGGCTGGAAAAGACCTTTAGGATCATCAAGTGCAACCATGAACCCAGCACACAGCCAAGTCCACCACTAAACCATATCCCTAAGCATCACATATTTTAAATACCTCCAGGGATGGTGATGCGACCACTTCCCTGTGCAGCCTGTTCCAGTGCCCAACAAGCCTTTTGGGGAAGAAATTTTTCCTAATATCCAGTCTAAACCTGGCACTAAGTGAGGCCATTTCCTCTTATCCTATCGCTTGTTACTTGGGAGAGGAGACCAACCCCACTTCGCTACAGGTAGTTATGGAGAGCAATAAGGTCTCCCCTCAGCTCTTTTCTCCACACTAAACAACCCCAGTTCCCTCAGATGCTCCTCCTAAGACCTGTGCTCTAGACCCTTCACACCAGCTTCGTTGCCCTTCCTCCTACTGTACCTTGAACTGTAACGGAGAATAATTTCCTAGTAACAGAAAGAGAGCCTGCAGTAAAGGCAATACCTACCAACTGCACGCAGCTGATTTCTTATAGCAGGGACAGGTGGAGAAGGAGCCCTTGATTGTGGAAGATCCTGGTGATCATAATGAATACGAAATGTTAACATGTAAAAGGAAGAAAATACCGCAGACATAAGTACATTTTATTTCCTTATTTGAGTTCAGTTTATGTTGTCTACCACTATCACTGGAAGACAGAATAGTAACCTTGCAGATTGTTCATGTCTAAGGTTTCTTAAATCTCATCTTTAAATGCATAATCCAACTTACTATGACAACACCACTAATGCACTCTTCAGTGATCTAGACAAAGCTCCACCAGTACTGCAAAGGTACAGAAATAAACCTTCCTCCAGAGCATTCCTAACATTCAGAGACATCAACAGTTTTATATAAGGTTTCAAGTGTTACTTAAAACATTTCTGAAGCTGCACAAGAACGTATTTTGCCAAATTACCATTTTCATGGCAAATTAATTTTTTTAAGTGCTAGCCCAGTTCACACAGACACTTGGTAAAAAAAAAAAAAATCCTGTCGGATTAAAAATCAGAAGCATAGCCTGAGATTCAAATATTGTAAAAGATTATTTAATCTTTTAAGATAAAAGGATAATCTTTAAGATTATCCTGCTCTTCACAGGATAATTTTATTTTTCTTAAGAATTGTCCCAAGAAAGATTAAATCAAGTGAAACAAATGAGTGGTCTTATGACCAATACTGTAAGTGATTCTTGACGCAAAGAAGAAAGTTAAGGGCATTACCAGTTATAATCCTTTTGTATCTTCAAAAACATAAAAATAATATGACAATATCTGTTGCTAGGAATCAACATTAAACTTCATGTCTGAGCCAAGTTCTCCTCCAAGTAAACACAATGAGTTGCTAGATTAGATGCAAACTTTCTTATCCTAAAACTTGAAATCTCTAGGCCTCTGGTAGGCTGGACAGAGTTTCTACACTCAAAAATAGTGTGTTCATACCTACAGAAAATGCACATGCAGAAAAAAATATAAACAAACATCCCTCCAAAATCTCTTCAATACTTTGAATAAAATTGAACATTAAATTTCAGAGCGACAAGACTGGACAATATGAAGACTGTCTCCAGCTATTTGTGGTATTCCACTAGTAACTGGCAAACATTTAAAATCTGGTAGGATTTCATGCACTGCACTGCCTTTAATAAATCAGTGAAAGTTAACTACAAAAATCATACTTGTGCAGAAGAGATATGGCTCTCAGCAGAGGGAATCCTTTCTTCTTTTCTTATTGATTTGTTCTGACAGGAATGACAGGAGAGGGCTGCCTTGATGGTTGCCTTGAAACCTGCAAGGAATAAAGCAAGACTGAAACTACATTCCCACAGATGCTGAATAAAGTAGTACTTTGGACAGGAACAGTTTTGTTAATGTTTTTCAGTTCACAGAAAAATGCTTTTGCTTATGTTAACTATTTTTGTATTTAATTTGCTGTCAACTCCAAACTACAGTATTTCATACACTAGACATCAGGGTCAGAGCTTGTATTTTGAGACAGAACACGGGCCAGAACCCCCAAACAGCTGAAAGCATTCAAACTTCAATAGTTTCACTCCATTCAAAAAAGGAAAAGCTGTGAAATAACCAGCAGGTGGGCACTGCAAGTAAATAGCCTCATTTTGAAATTAGCAAATCTACACAGCTCTCAAGAGTTCCAGAGGCACAGGAAAGGAACTGAGCTGCTATCAGCAAGCACAAAGCCTCATTTCTGTTTCCTGACTCAAAGTGTGGAATCTCTCTGCTCAATGCAGACTTGCTTACATACATGTTCAAGAGTTTTAACTTCAACGTGTATTTCCAGTAGGTACTTACGTTGATTTTTTAGACTTACTTTGGGTCTAAGCTGTTTTTTGTGGTCAGAACAGCATTCCTCCACAAGGCAGGACAGTTTCATAGACTTCTTACTTTCCAAGTAAGACACTTAATGACTTAGTATCTTACTGATTTTAATCTGTGACCTGAACCTAGCAGGGAAGCAAGTTTAGTAGCTTAAATCCTCAAACACAAATTTAATTCATATACCTTTATTTTTCTCACGAGAAATGGTCTGAGTCAATCGATTTCCAAGAGATGCATTAAAAAACACTCTGCTTTTTGTTTAGGGGAAGATCCATAACACCCCAGAATAGACACAGGAAAATACAGGAGACATAAGTACATTTTATTTCCTTATTTGAGTTCAATTTATGTTGTCTACCACTATCACTGGAAGACAGAATAGTAACTTTGCAGATTGTTCATGTCTAAGTTTTCTTAAATCTCATCTTTAAATGCATAATCCAACTTACTATGACAACACCACTAATGCACTCTTCAGTGATCTAGACAAAGCTCCACCAGTACTGCAAAGGTACAGAAATAAACCTTGACGCAAAGAAGAAAGTGAAGGGCATTACCAGTTATAATCCTTTTGTATCTTCAAAAACATAAAAATAATATGACAATATCTGTTGCTAGGAATCAACATTAAACTTCATGTCTGAGCCAAGTTCTCCTCCAAGTAAACACAATGAGTTGCTAGATTAGATGCAAACTTTCTTATCCTAAAACTTGAAATCTCTAGGCCTCTGGTAGGCTGGACAGAGTTTCTACACTCAAAAATAGTGTGTTCATACCTACAGAAAATGCACATGCAGAAAAAAATATAAACAAATATCCCTCCAAAATCTCTTCAATACTTTGAATAAAATTGAACATTAAATTTCAGAGCGACAAGACTGGACAATATGAAGACTGTCTCCAGCTATTTGTGGTATTCCACTAGTAACTGGCAAACATTTAAAATCTGGTAGGATTTCATGCACTGCACTGCCTTTAATAAATCAGTGAAAGTTAACTACAAAAATCATACTTGTGCAGAAGAGATATGGCTCTCAGCAGAGGGAATCCTTT